TGTGTATTTTGTTGGTGAGGTGTGTTTCTTACAGGCAGTACAGATGGTTCTTGGTTTTAATATATTTGGACAGTCTGTATCTTTGGAAAATTTAGTCCACTTATATTCAAGGATGCTACTGATAAGTAATGACTTGATCATAAAATTTTTGATATTTTAGATATCCTTTGCTCTTTTTTTAGGAGATATTTTGCCAAAAGCCTGATTCTTACTTGTTCCTTTCAAAATCCCACCACTCAAAACACTCCTGGAAACTAACAATATGAAAAGCAGTGAGGAGGTTTTATTATCCTCCATCAGAAAAGATACATTGTGATTGAGTATCTCCATAGTTTGAATAACAACAGAAACAAAGATGAGAAGCACCCAAGGGTTTATGCTGCCAATGTTCTGTTTTTTTTTTGGTCAGCCACTACAAGTCTCAAGTGGGCAACTGCATAAGGAGGGTGCTTGGGGAAGCCAGGAGAGGCAGAACATGGAGGTAACATAATATGCAAGAAAATAAACAAACAAATTTTCAAATGGATCAAAATGATGAGGCACATTATACTGAACAGCAGGCTTCAGTCATTCATTCAGGAAAACATAAATTTGTCTGGCTCCTGGGGAGATTTTATTTTCCTCAAACCAAGGATGAGTGTGTCTGAACACATGAAGAGGAAAGAACATGTTTTCTCACAGGTTGAGGCCATCTGAGCTGGTTTTACTGTAAACACAACACATCAGGGAGCAGCCTGAGTGATTTGGATGGCAGTGGGAATCAAAGGCCATTGCAAAAAGAAAAGGGAAGATAATAAGAAAGAAAAAAATATTCATGAATCCACATACTCGGTATAGCCAGCATTGTTGAGTTTGTGCCATGATTCACATCAACAAGAGGCTTGAGGAGTGATGAATGCTGTGAATGTACCACGAAACTCTACACATAGGTCCAAATCTTGAGAGATGAAAGCTGATGTAAGCTAGTCAATCTCGTGGAAACTGAAAATAGGGAGAGGGAAAATAACTGCCAGCAAAAGTGATGTTGCTAGCAGCAGTCTTTTCTGGCATGTTAGGAGTCTAACATTTCAAGCCAACTCAAGGAAAAAAAAATGTTCCACATTCTTGAATGTGTTAGGGGCAATGCTTATAACAACTATGACAAATCATCTGCAAAATGCATTTTGGAACCTGCAGAATTTACTATATATGTAGCTATTGTACTATTGTTAAGTTCTGGACCCTCAGTGATACAGATTTCTGACTCTGGGCCAGAAGGATTAGGAAATAAAAAAATAAAAACAGAAAACAAAGAAAGAAAAGAACAGGCTTGCATTATAGCATAATTTAGACCCTTTGAAACAGAAATAAAAAATGAAGAAAAAGATGAAACTTTAATAGTATATGCATGTTGAAATGGGCTAGTGTTTCTCTTTTTAGCGCAGGCTTTGCTTCAAAATATTTGATCCATTTTGCAAGTGGGACAGACCCCCAAACAGTACCCTGGAGAAAGTCAGCATTCTGGCTATGCAAGCGGTTTTCTTTCCTCTATCCAAACCCAGAGCTCAGTACTCTACTCAAACCCAGGTCTCTGAGAGCAAGGTTATTTGAGAATGGAAAGCACAATAAATTTTTTTTTGTCTTTTTTGGAGAGGAAGATAAAAATGAATTTAAAGTTAAAACTAGTATATTTGCCTTTGTTTTCATGTAAATGACAAAGTACTTTTCCATACTTTCTTTTCAAATGATCCAAAATGTCTATTCACAGAGTCTTTGAGTTTCCACTTGAAGAGAAATTTGTTCTTGGAACAGTTTGATAGCAAATTATTTATTAGAGTTTAAACAAACTTTGTGGAAATACAAGTCCTGCTGGTTATCACAAGAGTTGGGATGATGATGGGCTGAGCTAGGTGTGATTACACAATCTGACATCATTCACAGGTACAGGGACTGAGAATAGTCTGGGCAGGTCCAGGCTGTGGCACCTGCATGTGCATTTTAAAATAGGGTGTGTGGCAGGCCTGGTTGCAACATTCACCAGCTCATACAAGGCCAAGATAGAAGGGCAGGCTATCATGGGCAAGGGTCTAGCATCTGGTGGCATGTGTGAGATCTGGATCTGGGAGTGGGCTGAATGGGGAAATGCGGGAAACTCTCCTAGTGGGTCATAGCTCCCACAGGTGAGCACATGGTCCAGGGCCTGGGAGTCCGTCAAACTGAGCAAGGGAGTTCCAATTGATGTCAAATGCGTGGGTTAGTTTTGGAAGGAAGTGGACTGGGCAGGGATGAGCAAACCTGAGCTCGCTGGCAAGTGCAGAAACCAGGCTGGAGTGCAGGTCATGCCAGGCTACCTACCTGTTTGCATGAGCCAGGGATGGGAGCTCACTGTGCAGGGCCAGATTCTAGCACTTGTGAGAGTTGGAACTGGAGGCCAGCTGAACTAGTTCAGGCTACAGAGTCCAAAGGCAAAGGCAAAGACATGTGAGGGACTATGCCAAGCTGGGTCAGAGAAACCAGTGGCATGTACAAAATCTATGGCTGGGGGCAGGCCTGACTGGGGAGCTAAAGGAACACCTTAGCTGGGTGATGGTTCCCATTCGTAAGTGTGAAGGCCAGAGTTGGGATTGCTATCTGGTCTGGACGTGGCTGCAGTGTCCCTCAGCACGTGTGGACTGTGTCTGGGGTGTGGCAGACTGGGATAGACTGTAGAACCCATGAGTGCTTATGAGAACAAGGGTAGATGTAGGACGGGTTGGGCTAGATCTCTGCCCCTGCTGAGCCATGTGTGAACTGTGTCTGGGTGTAGGCTAGGCTGGGTGGTAACACCCAACAGTAAAAACTGAATTGAATTGAAGGCCAGTCAGGAAGGCCACTGTTCCTGCTAGGACAGGAGGTGGACTAAGTAGGGCTGGCTCTTAGACCCACCAGTGGGCGAGAGGTCTGCCATTGGTTGAGGTTCTGATGGAGGAGTTTGGGGAACTCCTGTGTTGGGATACAGTCCCTGCAGGTGAGAGTAGGTACTACAGGGAGCAGCTCAGTCAAGGCCAGGGAATAACCATGGACATATATGTGGCGCAGGTTGGGGACCAGCCAGGCTGGGCCAGTTCACATCACCCACTGTCAAATCTGAGCACCGGAGTGTGGCTTGGGCTGCATTGGGTCTTGAAACAACCCAGTTCACATTTGGGCCAGGACTGGGGACCAGCTGGGTGGGGCTAGGCTGTAGCCCCCACCGGCATGAGTTGGAATTGGGGATTGGCCAGGCCAGGCTAGGCTACATTATCCACTGGCAAATACTGAGGTGAGACAGGCCATGCCACACTGGGCCACAGTGTCCAATCAACATACATGAGACCTAGTGGTGGAGAGGGCCAAGCTGGTAGAGGAGCTGCATGGAGCTACTCTGCTGTACCACCACTCCCACTGTTGAACATGAAAGTTGGGATGGGAGAAAACCAGGCCGGGCAGGGCTACAATACCTGTTGTCCTCATGTGAGCTGGATCAGGGGAAAGCCAGGCTGGGTTGATTGTTCCTACTGGTGCATGCACAAGCCAGAATAGGATATGGATTGGTTGGGCTTGCCACAGCACCAGCTGGCAGATGCTGGCACAGGGGGCAAATTCTGTCATGATAAACTGCAGAACCATCTGGAGAGTACAGGATCTGAGTGTGGAGTGGGTCCAGTAGGGAAACAATGGGCATCTTCCTCTTGGGTTGCCAATCCAGTTGGTGAGCATGACAACTATGACTGGGACAAGCATGGCTAGACAGAGTGTGGTACCCGCTGGCATGTATATGGACTGGATAGTTGGACTTGTGGGGTTGAACTAGGCTTCAATTCCCATTGATATGTATGAGAGCTGAATGGGATATGGGATAAACTGGATCAGTCTGCTGTACATACTGGCAAGCCTGGAAACCAGGGCAGGGGGTGGGCCTGGTGGGGGCTATTACGGGTCGTTTTGACTAGGCCCCCACTCTCATTCATGTACATGAAGGTTGAGTTATTAGTCACTCAGTTTACCTCCCATTTCATAGAACTATTCATTTTTTTTTAAAGATTTTTAAATTTATTTTTATTGGAAAGGTAGATGAGAGAGGAGGAGAGACAGAGAGGAAGATCTTCCGTCCAAAGATTCACTCCCCAAGTGGCCTCAACAGCTGGAGCTGAGCTGATTTGAAGCCAGGAGCCTCTTCCCGGTCTCCCATGAGGGTGCAGGGTCCCAAAGCTTTGGGCTGTCCTTGACTGCTTTCCCAGGCCACAAGCAGCGAGCTGAATGGGAAGTAGAAACACCGGGACTAGGACCAGTGCCCCTATGGGATCCTGGCACTTTGAAGGCGAGGACATTGACCCATACGCTATCGCACCCGGTCCCAGAGTTATACATTTTTAAAAACCTGAATACTGTAAGCTGACAAAGAAAAATAGCATGCAGTTATGGAGACCCATGTGTTTGACACATGTAGACACTGTACAACATTCAAGTTAAGATAAATCTATCAGAATAATATTTTTAAAACTACAAGTGACCTTAGGTCTCAATCAGTGGGAATTCTTCCATTTCACAGATGACCAAGTTGAAGCTCTGAAAATGGGAGTTGTTAAAATCAAAGCTTAACCTCTTCTTGTCTCCACCATGCCATATAGTCTAGCATATCTCTCATAGCCCTCAATATATTCTGATTGTTTCTTGTCTATGATTGATTCAACATTTAACTTTTTTTATCTCCTTTCCTAAGCCCAAAATACTTACAATCTTATATTTTTTCATTCTTTGCAGGCACTTAGAAAATACTCGCTGAATTGGTTTCATTTCACCTTTGTTCTTCCGTCATTATCCATTGGCTATTCTGTTTTGGCTACTCCCAACAAGTAAATAATGGGTTTTCCCATTTTTAATGTGCATTATTAAATGATTGAGGATTATTCTTAGAATATGCTTTGTTACATTTAGAAATTGCAAGTTGTTTACACAAGCAAAATAAATGGATTAATACATATCATATTTAGTGGGTATATATGCACCTGGTCCTGCGCCTGCGAGGTGGCATGCAGATCTTCGTGAAGACCCTGACTGGCAAGACCATCACCCTGGTGGTTGAGCCCAGTGACACCATCGAGAATGTCAAGGCCAAGATCCAGGATAAGGAAGGCATCCCTCCTGACCAGCAGAGGCTTATCTTTGCAGGCAAGCAGCTGAAAGATGGCCGCATCCAGAAGGAGTCCACCCTGCACCTGGTCCTCCGTCTTAGGGGTGGCTATTAATTCCTCTTATTGCCTAGTGCTGGTATTACTCAACCACAGCATTTGCCCACACCAATTTAAGTTTAGAAGTTACCAGCTTCAATAATGGCTGAATCTGTTCAAAATACTAATAAAGGTTTTGTTGCATGATTATATATATATATATATATATATATATATATATATATACACTTTTCATTAAAATCTCTTTCAAATATTCCCATGCCCTTATCTCAGTGGATTAGAAATCAGTGTTTTGGACTACAGATGAAATTCAAATTATTTTCAGAAATTATAGAACACGGATATAATCTGAAATTCTTGTAATAAGAATCTTTCATTCCTTTATTCTACTTAAAAGAAACGTGACTCTTACAACACATAAATTAGACAAAGGGGCTTCTCCCAACTACTGCAGTGAAGTCAGAAGAATAGAAAACCTTGCAAATGCTTCTGTTTGCATGAACATGAAATTGGATATGAAAGCACCGAGTGGGCAAGTGGAGGAGTGGTGTAATCACCAGGTTTCTGACACTGCTGACATTTCCTTTCCTATACTATGGGGTCATACAATAGTCTAAAAGTGTGAATAAGTTTCAGACCAATAAAAGCCATGGTAATTCCAATACTCAACACTTTCCTAGCATTCACTCTCTCTGAGAGAAGTTGTGAAGTTTCAATAACAATCCAATAAGATTGATAGTCATAATCCTTTCAGAATGCTTCTAACACTGTGGACCCTTCGCAGAGACCTTTCCTTGCTATTGAAGAGAGGCTCACAAATGATACTGGACCTTTGAAGCCGTAGATCTGAGCTGTAGATCTGAGCTGTACATCTGTACCCTCTGATCCCAAGCCTTGCTATTTATTTAAATCATTAAATGCTCCTTTAGAAGTAAAAATAATTACCTATATTGTGGAAGAAAGGGATAATTTTAAAAATTATTTATTTTAATTTTATTTGAAAGGCAGAGTTATAGCGAAAAGGAGAGACAAGGAGAGAGATCTTCTACCTGCTGATTCTCTCCCCAAATGACTGTGAACTTGGAGTTGAGCAGATCCAAAGCCAAGAGCTTGGATCTTCTTTCAGGTCTCCCACATAGTTGCAGAGGTCCAAGCGCCTCAAACATCCTCTCCTGCTTTCCCAGGCCATCAATTGGGAGCTGAATTAGAAGTGGAACAGCCAGGACACAAACTGGTCAACATATGGAATGCCAGCTCTGTAAGAAGAGGCCTAACCTACTATATTATGATGCTGGTACCAAAATAGGTACTTAAAAAATAAACATACTTACAAAATTATATTTATTTATCTTTATTTAAAAGTCAGAGAGAGGGAGATAATATTTTCTATCCTCTTGTTCATTCACCAAATGCCTGCAAGAGGTAGGGTCAGGCCAAAGCTAGAGATATGTAGTTCAACCCAATTGTACCACATGGGTGTGAGGAGTCCAATCACTTGAGCCATCACTTCAAACTTTCAAAAGTAAACATAAGAAGGAAGCAGGCATTTAAAGGATATCCAGGAATACAAGCTGGCTTTACTATATAATATTCAGGTATTCTAAGCTGGCTTTCTACATGCTGAGTGATACATTTGCCCCAGTATACGTGTGTGTGTGTGTGTGTGTGTGTGTGTGTGTGTGTGTGTGTGTGTGTGTGTGTGTGTACAGGATCTATGTGTTTTAATTAGAAATAAAGATTTACAGAGAGAAAGAGAAACAAATCTTTTCCTTCCCCGATTCATACTCCAAATGGCTGCAAGGTCGAAGCTGAGCCCATTTGAAGCCAGGAACCAGCATCCAGGAGCTTTTTCCAGATCTCCCGCATGAGCACAGGGCCCTCGGGCTCTGGGCCAACCTCTACTGCTTTCCCAGGCCGTAAACAGGGAGTTGTATCGGAAGTGGAGCAGTTGGGACATGAAGCAGTGCCCATATAGGATTGCAGGCCAAGTATTAGCCAGGCGAGTCATCGTGTTTCCCCCCTTCACCCAGACAGAATGATATTTTTCAGAAATTATTCCACAGTATGTCTTAAAAGTAATATTGTAATGCCTCTGGTTTTGTCTTTGTTGCTCAAATTTTTTCACTGGCTGGGATCTTTCGTGGTTAAACATTCATTTTAGAATTTTTTTTCTCTTGAAAGTTTATATTATTTCTATTTGAAAGGCAGATTTGCACTGAGAGAATGAGAGACAGAGAGGTCTTTTTTCTATTAGTTCACTCACCAAGTGGCCGCAGTAGCCAGAGCTGGATCGGAGTCTGGACCCTGCTCCTGGTCTCCCTTCATGGCTCTAGGATCCCAACGACTTGCACCCTCTTCTGCTGCTTTGCCAGACACCTTAGCAGGGAGCTAGGTCAGCAGTGGAACAAACTGGATTGAATCAGTGTCCATATGGATTGCTGCCTGAGGCTTAAACTACTATGATACTGCACTCACCCTCATTTTTTTCTTTTTTTTTTTTTTGTTCTAAATTAATTTGTTCACTAATTTATGTGAAGAATGGTCTTGTAATCTCAATAGCATTTGCAATGAATATGTAAATGGCTTTGGGTGGTATTGACATTTGCATATAAGTTCTTCAAAATCATTAATGCTCAATAATTTTCCATTGTGTGTACGTATCTGCAATTTCTTCTATTCTTTTCACTAAATTTTCGTAATTTTTACTGTAGAGATATTTCATTTCTGTCTAAATTTATCCAAAGATATTTACATTTTTTGTAGCCATAGTGAATGAGGCTGATCTTGTAAACTCTGAGTCACATCACTGTGTACAGAAATGGTGGAGGCATCACAATTCCAGATTTCAAGACACTACAGGGCTATTTTAGTCAAAACAGACAAAAAGACCAACCTAAAAGAATAGAAGCCCCAGAAATAAAACCATAATCTATGATCAGTTAATCTTGGACAAAATAGGTAAAATAATTTCCTTAAGGAGGGATAATCTGTATAACAAATGGTGTTGGAGAAATTTGATTTCCAAATGTTAAAGTTTGAAACTAGACTATTGCTTTAAACCCTATTCAAAAATAAATCTGAAGTGAGTCAACTGTCCATTTAAAACCTAAAACTATTTAACGACCAGTGGAAAACATATGAGTAATGTTACACATTGTAAGAAATTGATCTTAGCAGGAGGTTATGAGCTCAGAAACTAAATGCACAAGCAATAAAAGCAAAAATAGACCAAAAATGTGTATCAAGCTAAGTAGCTTCTGAACATAAAGGAACAATTAAAAAGGTGAAGAGACCCCCACAACACTGGGGGAATGTATTTGTAATCTCTGCAAGTGAGAAAGTGTTGAAATCCAGAATGTAAGAGGATCTTAGGATATCTCAAAAGAACAAATTATCCGATCTAGTTAAGAAATCAAATGATGACTAGATAAAAAACGTGAGGCAGATATACACTATGGAATACTACTCAACTATAAAATCCAGTGTTTTGCAACAAATTGGATACAACTGGAAACCATTATGCTTAGTGAAATAAACTAATCTTAAAAAGAAATATCATAATTTTCCTGAATCATGGTAAATAATATGCAGAGTAATAAAATGTAATATATATGAGTGAAATTGATATTTTAATATTTGATTTTAATCTACAGCCCTGACATATATTCTTGAGGCACAATAGCTTTTTCTTCTTACTAGTTGTTGATTGTTTTTTACCTTTTGGATAATTAAACCTGTTATCATAAAAAAATGAACATATTTCCTTGTAAATTTTCAAAGAGAAAGTAAGCAAGGAAGGAGTGAGGTTGGGCCACAGGAGGGAGATAGAAAAGAGTGGAATGAATCACCATGTTCCTAAATCTGTAAATATGAAATATGTCAAATTTGTTCTCCTTATGTAAGTAATAAAAGAAATGGACAAAGGAAATGAACAGATATTTTTCATAGCAGAAATACAAATGGCCTTAAAATCTCTAGCCACCGGCAGAAATATAAATAAAGCCTTATCTAGTGAGAGGTGCCTGCTAATGACCTGTAAAAAGCAACAGTAATCCAGGTTCTTCTGAGAACCTCAGAGAAAGCTCCTGACTCCTGCCCTCTCCCTGGCCCGGTCTAGCCATCTGGACAGTGAATCAGCACATGGACAATCTCTTTCTGTCTGTACCTCTCTCTGTAATTGTGACTTACAAATAAATAATCCTTATTTTTTCTTCTAAAAAGGAGTAATGGTAGAATCAATACCTTGTTAACTTGTGCCTAAGATTATCATAACTCAAGGAGGGATTAAATCCTCTGCAACACTTCAGCCAGGAACCTAAAACACCCTTACTTGCTGAAGGATGGGCCAATCACTGACTTGATGTGCTACCTACAGTCACACAAAACTATACTCCAAGATATTCAAGCCAAAATTCTGGGGAAATCGCACCTGTGGAATTCCATCCTAACTGGCTATTAAGATTTGCATAGTACTTTTAAAGTTGCTTGATTTTTTTTATTAAATATCAACTAGATGTGAAATAATTTTTATAGAATTCTTGTGGGTTATGAATAAAGTGATGCAGATACTTGTTCATGCACCATGTAGTTTAGGAATGTCCCCTAATCCTTTACAGGGAATCCCCAACTGTCCTTTCCCAATCTCAATCTCATCACTCCCAGATTACAAAAAAAAAATCTTCTGAATGCATCATTCCTTTCTCTGCCTTAGTTTTATTACAGGTGTTTTATACACCTAAGATAATATTTAGTTTTGCTTTGTTTCTTAATGCTATGTAAATTGAATCATGTAGTGCAAATTTCCTTTAAATGATCTCTTCCTCTCACAGATGTTCCTGAGAGGCATGAATTTTGTACCTGTAATAACTTTAATTCTTTACTAGTCACAGTTGTCTGCTAGTCCAATATATGAATGCATCTTTGCTTATTTATCCAGTTTTCAGGTGTTGGACTACTTGCCTGTTGTTATACCCTAAACATTACTGATTACGTGTAAGTCATTCATATCTTGTTCAGACTCTCACAGTAGGGAAAGCCATGTCTCCCTACATCCTCCCTACATCCTCATCAATTCTTAGAGTTACCAAGTACTATGACATACTATCTCCTTGCGGCTCAACTTGAATTTCCATAAACATCAGTAAAGCTGGGCATATTTTCATATATTTATTTCTGAGAAATATTTAT